TCTGCAACAAGTATACTATCATTTTTCATTGAAAACTAAACATCGATCTAAAGCGCTCAGGACAAAGAATATTTTTCAGCTAAGTGCATCAACTACTACTTTAGCTTTCCTCGGATGGTAGTCAATAATCACATCATAGTCTTTTGGAAACTCAATCCATCTCATTTTCCTTAAATTTAATTCCTTCTGAGTGAGCAAATATTTCAAACTCTTAAGATCTGTATAAATGTAACATTTCTCAACATATAGATAATGACGCCAAATCTTCAAGGCGAACACCACAACTGCTAGTTCTAAATCATGCATCTGATAATTCCGTTCGTGTGTATTTATCTACTTTGAAGCATAGGCTACCACTTTACCTTCTTGCATTAGAACATATCCCAAACCATTATGGGATGTATCATTGTAGTTTACATAATCTTTGCCTAACTTTGACTGCACTAATATCAGTGCCTCTATCAGAATTTTTTTAAGCATATTGAAGCTTTCTTGGCATTTTTCAATACAAACAAGTGGTACATCTTTCATAAGTAGTTTGGTAAGTGAATAAACAATCATCGAGAAATTATTCATGAATATTTGATAATAACTTGCTAATCCCAAAAAGCTTCGAATTTCAAAAACATTCTTCGGAGTTTTCCACTCCACTATAGCTTGTACTTTGTTGGGATCTACTCTGATTCCTTTTACTAAAATCACATGACCCATAAAAGCAACCTCTGGCAGCCAGAATTTTTATTTTGACAACTTAGCATACAACTTTTCATCTTGCAGCACCTGAAATATAGCGCAAAGATTTGCATCATGTTCTTCTTGAGTCTTAGAATATACCAAAATATCATCGATGAATATGACTACAAACTGATCCAGATACGGTTGAAACACCCGATTTATCAAATCCAAAAATGCTTCTAGAGCATTAGTCAATCCAAATGGCATGACTACGAACTCATAGTGACCGTATCGGGTCCTGAAAGTTGTCTTCGATATATCTTCTTCTTTATTCCTTAACTGGTGATACCCCAATCGAAGATAAATCTTTGAAAATATGGAAGTTCCCCTGAGCTAATCTAACAGGTCATCAGTCTCTGGAAGAGAATACACTTATTCTTCACTGTCATTATAATCAACTGACGATAACCTATGCATAGCCCCATCTAATCATCTTTCTTTTTAATTAATAGTAACAATGTACCATATAAAGTTATATGTGGTCTGATAAAACTTTGATCAAGTAACTCCTGCAATTGAGCCTTAAGCTCTCTAAATTCCATTGGAGCTATTAGGTAAGGAGCTATCGAAATAGGTGTTCTGCCTGGAACAATATCAATCTTAAACTCTACCTCTCGATTAAGAGGTAATCTGGGTTATTCTTCCGGGAATACATTTGGAAATTTCTACTTATCCGCTTTACTCTGACACTAAGACCCAACAGTTTCGTTGTTATAATAAATAAATTCTAAGAAAATACATGTTTAAGGTAATGTTTTATTAATACAACTTATTCAAGAATTATATTTCCAACATTAAATTACTACTCTATTACTTGAAGTCATTCTTCATATACTTTCTCATTTCTATAATCTTACTCCAGTGACTATAAATCTTGAAACTCTTCAAGTTCTTCAAATAAACAACTATTCTTATTTGAACTAATTTTAAATATTTTCAAACAATAACATAATTATCATCCGATTCACTGAGAACTTAGTTTTCTTTAAACTTCTAGCATACAATCTACTTACCTATAGGAATTCCAGGATCATCGAAAAGTTCAATACTTTCCGGATTCTCCTCATTCTCAACTTCTCTTATAATCCTTTTAAACCTTCTGATATATTCCTCTAATTTTTTTACCTTATTAAACTCTGGGACATTTCTTTCACAAAACGGAGAAAAATCCCTTACAACTCTAACCCTTATAGGGCGAGATACTAAAGTCCTCCCAGATCCATTTGGATCGGTTTTAGTCTTGATTCTATTTCTAGTATTATCTTCGTTCTTACTCTAGTTCTTAACTTCCGACATCTAACACATACATTTCCATATCACATTAGTAAAGAGTAACATCCTTAATAGAATAATAAAATCATATCAGGTCAGTATTTTTGATATCCTAGTGGCATGTACATATTTCTAACATAACATATGCTTGATTTAAGCTGAGAATCGACTAAACTTACTGCTCTGATACTAATAAATGTAACACACATAGCTCGTATATGACTTAAAATACGAGCTAAATATGTCACATCAACTTTAGAAACGTTTATTGAAAGTAAATGCTGAAAATTTAGTTTCTTTTTAAAACAATTCTTTATCAATTTATATCTGCTTCATTTGGCATGTATATTCGTAAAATAATAATTTTTCATTCTAAAATACGTTGATCTTATGCGGCAATTAGGCAGTTCCATGTGGTTTCTTATTTATATACAACTAACAAATATTGCTTAATTTTAAAACCATTTAAAAATCATTCGTAAAATTCATTCCTATTTACGACTATAACTAAAATTAACCAAAATTAACAGTCATAAATTACTATTATGGACCCTTTTGAAAATAAATGTGACAAAGCAACCTAACAGATATAATGTACATGCCACTAATAAATCAAAGTTAGGATATATTACTAATATTGTCGGTAGGTTTGATTTCCATAAGATGCTGGCAAACTCCTCACTTCACGTCCTCTACTTTATTCGAGCCTACGCATGAAAATATCCACGAACTAATTAAAACTTGGTGAGGCAATAACATAACTAAAATGATATAAAATATACATTTCATAAAGTATTATAATTGAAACTGCGATATGATGCAATTTAGTGCAATTATAACCTGATCACCAACGGTGTTGAACATTGGTACACGAATGTACCAAAGCTGAACTGATAATTGATAACTGAAAAGTAATCACTAAATGGCATGCCAAATGTACCTATGACTCTCAATGCAACATACAATGGGCTTATATGTATCATCATAGAATCATTTATTAATATGTGTCTGATAACTGTAAAACATATGATATCTATAAATATTTGATAACTGAAAATCATCTTACAACAGTTAACATTTATAATTCACCACCATAAATATCATACTTGGGCAGTTCATATCCAAAATCATTCATAAAACTTGTTGAAAAAATATTATAGAAATATTTCATACTAAAAATTTATAAATCATACTGGAAAATAAAATAAGGTTGACTTATCACAAGTCGTCCTCGGTTATAATAATCAAATAAATAAACTACACTCACTTTGACACTTTATTATTATTTTTAATCAAAATATAAGCCTAACTAAGCTTTAGATTTAAATCTTTTACCTTCCACTACTTTCAATACACAATTTATCAAAATTCCATATTCTGGCAGTTTGCACTTCATTTAAACAAATATTATTATGTATTAATATATATGCTAAAATTTTTTGTTTGTACCAATGAAAACTAGACTCGAATACGAATCTAACCATATAAGGAAACTCTTGTAGCTCAACTTGTATGGTTAATAGCAAATTTTCAAAGTTGACTGATAGAAGTTGTTTTGAGCATAATTTGTTGCCTTGTTTTCTGACATATTCACGATTACAAATTCATATATTTTTGTGTACAACTCAAAATCAGTATATGTTTTTGTGTACAACTCAAAATCAGTATATGTCTATTTTAAACGAAGCTAGATTGACATACTAATTTAACGGTCTAGAGATCATTCTTTAATCAATTATGTATAATTTATGGTGAATTTCTAAAATCACTGTTCAAATCCTAATTTCTAGACAACTTTCCTTAATTAACACCCTTAGCTTAATTTCATAATTATATAAGCTTAATAAATGAACCTTTAGGCTATAATCACAATTCACATAACCTTAGGAGTCACTTCTTACCATAGTAACTCTGTCACTGACTCATCGCAATCCAATGTTTGTACGATAACATAAACACGAAACTAATGCACTCACCTAAGTCTTCTTGTCAAATCTCCTCCTCGATAATCTTCTCAATTTCCTTCTTTTTCGAGTTGCTTTTATCAATAGATTTATTGAGGTCTAACGACGTCATATAATAAAATAAAATGTTCAAGGTATATGTTAGTATTAAACTAATATAATCTAAGCGTAAATATAAAATTCGATAGAAATAAAATCGATACTTAAATCGATATAAAACTAAATCGTACTCCCATCAAAATTTCAAACTTATCAAAATATTTCCTTAAATTCCAAAAATATATATTTTCATTATCAACCCTTCAGCTTTTGCTAATTGTACAATCAAACCACAAATTATGAATTCTTTCTAGAATTCATCATAACTTCCCATTAAATTCATAATAGCCTTTAACTATTGTGGTCATGTCACATTAATCACATAAAATTTCCAGCACCTTAATAAAATATGCAAATCAACACTTGAATATTTAAAAATTTGCAATTTCATCCTTAACTTTCTGAAACTTTTCAATTTCAACCACCCAACTTGTTAAACTTGAAATTCGATCCCAACTCAACATTTAAACTCAAAAATCAGTACATAAATAAAATTTCCAGCAATATATTAGTTTACCCAAATGGTACTTTCACATTTAAAAACTTGAAATCAAGTCTCTATATTTCTTGGACTTTTCGAATTCCACCCCTAAATTTTACCAAACTTGCAATTTGGTTCCAACCAACTTTGCAACTTAATTTTCCAGCATCTTAATACTAAATATTATCATTGAATACTCCAAAGCTCACATTTATATAATAATGTCCCACAATCCTTAAAACTCTTAAACTAGCCCTTTTTCATTTTTAAGATTTCAAATTGACTCAAATCAATCTCCAAATCACATAGAATACTTCAAATATCATTTCTAAACCATAGGAAATTTTTCAACATTTTTCCCTTAATATTTTCCCTATGGCCGAATACCCCATGTCACTTTAGGGGGACATTTTGTTCAATTTCAAGCATGAATTCAACCTCTTTACAACAAACTCATGCTATTCTAATTATCACAACATCAAATTTAATCCAAATCCAATCATCTCTTAAAACCTTAGCCATGGCCAAGTGATATATAAGCACCTATACATCATTTTGGTTATTACACAAAGTTTAGAATTAATCTCCAACACCACTAACATACAAATCTTTCATTAAATCCATAAAATCCATAAACCCTTCTAAACCCTAGTCATTAAATCTTAACATCCAAGCATGTTTAGCAAGAATTTCGTATACCAAAAGGTAGAGAATTGAATGTAGAACATTTTCTTATTTCACAACTTAGTCCAAAATTCTTCTAAAATAGCTCAAAAATAGAAAAGAAAATATTTCTCAAGTTGGAGGGGTTCACGGCAGCAAGCTGATAGAGAAGAAGAATTCTTGATTTTTCTAGCAATTTTCATGATACTCATGACTTTTAAACAATTAAATTGAATTTAAAAATCAATTAATGAAAAATCCTCAAAATACCATTAATGAAACTTGATATTTATCAATTTTCATTACCATGTCTTACATTAAAATATTCCTTAGTCAAAGAAGAACCAATTTGACTTTTATCTTCTACTTTGGCCATGTAATTTTCAAAAATTACATTTTAGTCAATAAAATTACACTGTTCTGAGCAAAATTTCTCTGATCTAAAATATGGAAATACTATTTACAACCATTTTTTAACATCCTTAAAATTTCCATGAAAATTTCGGTTCGATCCGATTATCCGATTCCAATATCGAACTTTTATGCTTTATACAAATCCCGTACCGAAAATCTGATTCCCGTGAAAATCCTTGTTTTAGACCAAGTTGTTCATTTACAGGATAAATAAAATATATAACTTTTTTAAAATTACATTTTTTGGTCCTTGAACTTTTCAAAGTTTACATTTTAGCCACTAAACTTTCAAAACTTATCTTTTAGTCACTATAAAAAAATTTGGGGTATTACAAGAATTGTTCATTACCTAAGAATTTGAAGGTAATGACATCCCCGCTATTTTAACAAAAATAATGTTACTATTGATAGTAAATTATTATTAAGTAATGATTTTTTCGTGAACCAAACGTGAAAATATAATTTCTCTTAGTAATAAATTTTTTTGCGAATCAAACTCATCTTAAAGTTTGTCAAAAATATTATGGTTGGGAAAATACTTGTGTTGTTCATTTATTTACTTAACACTAGCATATTTTTACCTCTCCAACTTTAAACTATATAATATAAAGTTATTATTGCTGCATTTACACTGTGTTGATGTCTTCACCTCCAACTACCATCTATAAGCAATAAATGATGTCAAGATGGGAAGGAGCAGATTAATAAGTTGAGTAGCTTGTAAGCGGTTTGAATTTGACTCGGTTAATATTTAGTTAAAATTTGACTCAGGTTGATTCGACTCGAACTCGAGATCCTAATAAGTTGAGTAGAGCAAAATATAACTTGACTCGATAAGTTTGCGAGTAAATCGTTAATTTTTTAATATTTTTTATAACTTTGTAGTTTGGTGATTGCAAGAAACAATGAAAGGAGTGAAGATATGTTGAATTATTATTTTTAGGATTGATTATGTATTGCTGAACTTTTTTTCAAGAATGTTTTTAATATGTTAGTTTGATTTATTTGTGGATTGTTATTTGGTTTTAATATGTTAATTTGATATATTTGTGGATTGTTACTTTGGAGTTTAGACTTTAAAATTGTTTCATACACCCTTTTAATAATTTGTGGTTAAATTTGTTAATTTATTTTTATATTAAGCCCTATATAGTATTAGTATATTTTACATATCATTAAAAAACAAGGTAAAAATTTCGGTGAGCTTAACGAGCAACGAGTCGAGCAAAATTTTAACGATCTTAATAAGCAACGAGTCGAGTCGAACGACAAAATTTTTTAATTAGCACGAGTCGAGTACTGCCCAATACATGATCAACTCGCTCGATAAGCACCCCTAGTCTATAGTGTTTATTGACAGTGTTAATCATGAGTTGAAAAATACTCGACTCAATTTGAAATTTTTTTGACTTGTGCTTGATTAGATCTGATAAATTAGATAAAATTTTACTTAATTAGTGCTCATTAAAAAATTCGTTGTTCAACTCGACTTGTTACTTGTTAAGATCGCTAGAATATTTGTCTATATGTAAAATCTAATAATAGTTTGTAGAATTTAATATAAACATAAATTAATAAATTTAACAGAAAAATGATCAAAATAGTAGGTTTAGTAGGTTGAATTCTTTGTAGTCAGAATTTCTGTGGCTCAAGTTTCATCGGTTGCTTAGCTATTTGCTGGTGGAGTTCTTCATTTCTCCGTTTTCTGTTTTGGTCGGTGGTGGTGTCCAGTGGCATGTGCTTTGGTGGATGGGTTCAGTCTTGTGCTTTGGTGATCGGCCGTTTTGTTTGAGTGTTGTTGTTAGGAGGAGGTGAATGTTGAGTGTTGCTGTCAGAAGGGGTGAGGCAATGGGCGTTGTTTTTCTCTGTTTCGAAAGGGGCGTTTTAAAGATCAGGTGAATGGGGTAAGTATTGTATGGGGAATTAAGAGGCTGTCGGAGATAGTGCTCTGACATGTAGGCTAGCGCGTGCTGGTTGTTTTTGTGGATTTTAGGAGGTTGTCAGGTGAATACAATTTCTAATGTGAGTTTCAGGGTTTTTATTTTGATTATGGTCAACTGCTGTCTGCTTTTTCTTTCTTCAATGCAGGTGGTCTAGCATGGACATTCTGGTTCCTTGTCTAGTTGCTGCAAACGTTTCGTTCCTTGGAGGTATCTGTTGACAGATAGTGTGAGTTGAGTGCTTGGGTTGTCTTTTGTAGTATTGGATCTCTCTTTTATGACCGATCCTTGGACGAATCTGTTGGCAGGTAGTTTTCAGCTAGTGTGGTTCTCCATGACCCAGGGCTAATCTTTGATCAAGCTTTGGTTTCGGGTGGTGGTGTGTTTGATGTGTTGGGCTCTTTACTTTGGATTTGTTGTCGGTTTTCGACCTCCTTTTAGTTCTTAGTTTATTGTTATAGTATGTTTGTGTTGTATCTCTTGTAATGGTTGTGGGTTTGTTATAGGGCGGGAGTATGGTTTGTGTGTTATTTTAGCTTTGTGTGTGCTGATTCTTACCACCTCAAGGCACACTCTTTTTCCTCCGTTTAGGATTAGAGAGGATTTTTAATGAGGTCTTTGGGGTGTTGTACTTTGTAATCTTTCTTAATACAAAGTACCCTATTTCAAAAAAAAAAACAATTCACAAATACATTAAACTAACATATTACAATCAAAGTAACAATTTACAAACACGCCAAATTAACATAATACAACCATTCTAGATTTTTTTTTTCAGAATTTATAATTAATCTTAAAAAAATAAGACAATCAACATTCTAAAAAATTATAAAAACATTAACGACTTGTTCGCGAACTTATTGAGTTGAGTTTAGCATTGTTCAATTCATTAAGATTTCGAGTCAAACTAAAATTAAAATTAAATCCACTCATATCAAATGTTAACCGAGTCTAGCTCGAGCTGCTAAACTTAGTTAGCACCCTTAATTCCGGGGGTGCACCGTTGGAATCCCTATCTCCAGGACCCATAATTGGTGTGATATCTGAAGAGGGTCAGGGCATGATCGTGGAAGTCAAATTGTTGTAGTTTTGGTGTGGGGGCAAAGGAATGTGATGTGGTGAGCTGTGTTGGTTGATTGGCCAAAAGCTGGCCCCTCACTTATTCAATTTCGAGCTTGCAATGCAAACATGCTCTCCAAGAACAACAATACAAACTCTATTCACGCTCCCGCGCTGCAAAACATGCCCTAACCAAACTTAAAACGAGTACCAATGTTTGATTCCATTCCATTTATTTTCTTCTTGGTTCAACTATTATTTATATATATTCTTTTTCTTCCAATTCAACGTATTTTTTCTTCTAGCCAAGCTTAATTATTTTCAGGTTCATCCTTCAAATACCAAAGTAGGGAGAAGAGCAAATAACATGAAAAACGATGTAAGGTGGAATTTGAGAATCACGGGGGTTAACAGCGAGTGGGATTGGTTGGGATTGTGAATTAGAGAGAGCAATTGGCTCCGAGAATTGCGCGGTCGTCCAGGCTCCAGATGGAGGTCAAAGGGTTAGGTTGGCAATTCGAGAAAATTAGTTCCCGTGGACACATGGCCACACTAGCTCACACCTACGTCACAATAACCAGCGAAAAATTCACAATTTATTAATTTTTCTTTAAAAATTATTATTTTCTGCTTGCAAAATCATCGCTTCCCCCGTCCTGTAAGGGAAGCGGAGAAATTGACAAATTGACTGTCCCTTGTTAATATCCGCTCTCATAGCCTACATGTCGTTTTGTTTAACCGGCGCCACCCCTCTTAAATTAATATATATATATATATATATCAAAATTATTTTTTAAATTTAAAACGAATATAAGGTAGTATATATTAATTATATGATAATGAACGTTCTTATCTTTGATATTTACGGTGTTCAAATCCAGGACTTCAAGAGATAATAACGAGTCTCTTAACCTCTAAGATAGCTTAATTCGTGCTCACATCAAAATTATTAATATTTAAAATAATAATTATCTTTTTTATTAAGCTAAAGATGATTATAAAGTAGTATATATTTTAAATGCTCTCAACTATTTGATAATGAATGCTCAATCACATTTGCTGGTGCTCGAACATGTCATTCTAGGAACAATAACGATTCCTTTAACTACTGAAGTAAGTTAGTTTATACTAATTGTCTTTTATTATTGGATGACATTAAAATGATGAAACAAATTTTGCTTAAAATAAACTTTAGTATTCGATTATCATATTTTTATTATTGATTCTATATTATGATTTAAACAATAATAATTAAGAGTATTATCAATTTAGATATATTTATAATATTATTAAAATGAATCAAATTATATTAAATTAAATTGAAGAGATTAAATACTAAAATTCAATATATAAAGGTACATAAACTATAATTAGATTTTAAAAAGAGGAAAATGGGGTGAACGTGTGGCCCACGAATATATATATCCACGAAACATATTTGATAACGATCATTGGATTCTTAATCGTCTTTAATCGAACGGTTCACAATTACCCTAAAACTCATCGTGGGGCCCAAAGAACATAGTAGTTACACACGTCGGCTTGAAAACGAACGGCTCCTTTGGTTTGTGCAGCCGACTCGAGTGAAGAAGAAGTCTGCAGTTTTGGCCACGCCAGATATTATAAAGGCGATTGTTTTTTTTAAAAAAAAAGCCATTTCCGGCTTTCCGTATTGTGAAAAAGGCGTTAATTTTCCTTTTTCTTTCTCATTTCTTTATTTTTTTTTTGTCCCACAAAAACAGTTTTCCGATCGAACAAAAAAGAAAAAAGAGAGGAATTTCGCAGGACGCCATGATCCGCGTTTCTCGATCGTAGCAAATAATCCAATTCCTCACGTCGTCTTCTCATTCTCTTCGCTTGTAATCTCCTTCATCATTGGCTACCGACCGATTTCTCTTAATCCTCCTTTGTAATTTTCAATCTCTTTTCCTTGGATATTTATATGATTTTTATCTTTTTCCCAGTTTATTCTCTTTACACATCTAGATTCATTTTATTTTTCTGTTATGATGAGCAGATATGTAGGACTGTTTATTACTTGTTATTCTCTACATTGATTTGGATTTTGTTTTTGGATTTTGATGAAGAATCTAGTCTATCGAATTTTTATATAAATCAGTTTTTTTGGAAGATCTTGATGTTTTCCCTAGCCGTTTCCGTCTAATATTATATGTTAAATATGATCATTGATGTATTCAGTTCTTTATTTCGATTATTTTGCGATTAGATTTGATTATTGAAGCTGCATCGTGCATTTTACAGGATCTTTTAGTGTAATTTATGGAGGGTTAGAGATCTTGTCTGTGAGGTTGAGTTTTAGCTATTGACGTGGTTTTTGGATTTGAAAATTTGGAACAATGACCTCGAGATGCGAGCATCAAACCGTTCCGCTGTCAGTTCTACTGAAACGAGAATTAGCGAGTGAGAAAATTGAAGACCCGGTGATTGTACACGGACAAGCTAACCATAGTAAGAAAGGCGAAGATTTTACGTTGCTTAAAACAGAATGCCAAAGAGCGATGGGAGATGGTTTCACCACATTCTCAGTTTATGGGGTATGAACTTTTGGTCTCTCATACTAACTAGATCGTCAGTAATCACATACTTTATACTCTGATCTTGAAGTGTCTGATACAATAAAATCTTATAATTTGAATCACTAGAATATGAGTATTTATAAACTTTTATTTGCTAGGTATATTGGTGTATTTATCTGTATAATTTGTTTGATTTGACACATATATACATATCATTTCTTTATTTCCTTTTTTTTTCATTTATAGGTTGGTCTTGCTAAACTTTTTTTTTGGGCAGCTCTTTGATGGACACAATGGATCTGCTGCTGCTATTTACACTAAAGAGAATCTTCTAAATAATGTTCTAAGTGCCATGCCGTTAGATCTTAATAGAGATGAATGGATTGCTGCCCTTCCAAGAGCTTTGGTTGCAGGATTTGTTAGAACTGATAAAGATTTTCAACAAAGAGGTATGAGTTGCTTTGTTTTTATGTAAACATATTTGATTATAACAGATGTTTTACCGGATAAGCTTTGGTCGAGAAAGGAGTATTTGTCTAGATATAATTTTTATCACATTATAATCATACACTTACTTTCGGAGTGGTTGCTATTGTTTATGCATATTGTTCATGCAATGGTAGGACATATGCTCATATCAGTGTAGACTTAGATTGTATCCCATTTCAATCAACTAAATCTTTTATTTTCTCCCATCATTTTATTTCATTTTTCTGTGAGGTCCATGTAGGGTAGTTTATCATTAAGAATCTCCATAGAGAGCATGCTTATGTGTTGGAAGAGTCGCTTTTTGGAAGTTGGTAGATATTGTTCTTTGATAGTTGATTTGCACTACGAGTGGTTAGCGGTGTGGCTGTTTGGTTCGGATTCTTACTTGGAAATATAGTGCTTTCCTTTGTACAACTAAAAGAGATAGCAGGTTAGAAGATGTCTGTCAATGGATCAGCTTGCCAATATTCTTATAATATCATGTAAGATTTTGGTTTATGACTATTTCGTCAACAGTTAACTGATAGTCTTGCGATGTCAATTTTGAGTTAGTCTAGATATAGTCAAGCTGGCATCACCAATATGTGTCCAGCTTGATAATTCACCACCTTTACCAACAGAACACCAGGCAGTTTCACCAATTAATTATTTTACCCTCTATTTGAAGACGATTATAGATGAGCTTATAGAATTCGTGTACATAAGCACGTAATTTCTTCATTCAATTGAATTGGGAACTGCGATAAAGAGAAGAAACCATATTATTAAGTAGGCGCTTTTTGTGCTTTTAATTTTTTGAACTGAGTAATAACTTTTTCTTGTGTTTACTACCACATGTTTAGTATTTGATAGACATGGTTTGCTTTTTTCCAGCAAAAACATCAGGAACAACTGTGACATTTGTGATAATAGAAGGATGGGTTATAACAGTTGCATCTGTTGGTGATTCCCGCTGCATATTTGAATCAGCTGAAGGTGGAATATATTACTTGTCAGCTGATCATAGGCTTGAATGCAATGAAGTGGAGTAAGTTTTTGTCATGGCATTTGTTGTATTTAATTTCCCCCTAAATATTGAGATCTTTTTGTTTTCATCTTATTAGGAGGGAACGGATCACTGCATGTGGGGCTGAGGTTGGTCGGCTAAATGCTGGTGGTGGTGCAGAGGTATCTCCTCTACCCCTAAACTTAACCCCCTCGAGATATTAGTGTTAATGGATGTGCAACTACAATGCTTGTAAAACACAATCTAGAAGCTAGGTTCAGACATGCATGACACTTTTGGCAGTTTACCGAAAAGACAGTAAACTTATTTGATAACTAATGTGAATTAGAGAACCCTTTTGTAGAACTTACTTTTTTTTTGTAACTTTTATAATCTAAAGAAATCGACTGAAGAAGAAGGAAAGAATAAAAGAGGTAATGAAAGAGAAATCTCATTATTGAATTTAGGAGATTACAATGGTTTATAAATAAACTCCTAAGACTTATCCTTATTGTAAAAGATTCATAAACAAACAATACTTATACACGGCTGATTCTAACAGTAACAGTTATAATTATCTACAACTTTTTCAGTATCTGTCTTGATTTGTTGCCAGATCTAATTATCATGATACTCATATGTTTGTAAAGGATGATAAATTGATTCTCGTTAGAGAATTTCAGTATCTGCAGTATGAGTGAACTATATTTGATAAATTGTGTGGATCAAAGATGGTGACCTAACGGTGAGGTTATTTTATAGATTGGTCCTTTGAGATGTTGGCCTGGAGGCTTGTGTCTTTCACGATCCATTGGTGATATGGATGTTGGGGAGTTCATCGTTCCTGTTCCATATGTAAAGCAAGTAAAGGTTTGTCTTTCATAATCCTCATGCATAATGTAATTGATATATTCTTAACATGTGTGCTCAATAGAGTCAGATCTTGACATTTTTTATAAGGGGGGCAATTGGAATTATGTGTTTTCTAGTTCCATATGTGATTTTTTACATATACCAAATATATATACTAATATCATATCTGTGATATTTATTTTATATATATGTTTATATATTTACATTTTACATATACCAGTAATTATATATACTGCCAATATGTTCATAAATAAATTATAAACATTTTTTTATAATATCAAAATAAAAAAGAAGTGGGGTGGAGCATCATGGAGTGATGTGGATATAACCGTTATTCTGTACATTTTGTTTCACAACATGCTAATTCCCCCTCCCCCATGCAACTGTTTTAAGAGTTTGGATATGTTCTTGGCTGTAATGGAGTTCCTTGAACTTCTAACCACATACGACCATTTCAAGTTCATGCTAGTTATGTACATAGTAGAGCCATTATTTTCATATCCTCACGTGTCCTATACTCGCACATTGAAGTGCTTTTGCATATAGATTCTTAATCAGTTTTCTTTTGAAAGGTTCTGGTTTTGACTGAATGTTTTATCTAAAACTAGAAAACAAATTTTCTTGATTCTTAATAATCGTTTTATTTTACCTACTAGTTTATTTTCTGCAGTTATCTACAGTTGGTGGTAGGATGATCATCTCTAGTGATGGTGTTTGGGATGCTTTATCAGCTGAAGAAGCTCTTGATTTTTGTCGCGGACTGCCACCAGATGCAGCTGCTGCTCAGATTGTGAAAGTACACTCATATTCCTTTGCGTTATATTCTTCAAATATTGCTGCTGGGAGCATTATGCCCTTTTGGCTTTTGCATATGTTAGTATAAGTTTGCTTTCATGTTTTCTTATTCCTTGCTCTTCAATGAACAGGAAGCTGTACAGTCAAAGGGTCTTCGAGATGATACAACCTGCATTGTTGTTGATATCTTACCACCAGAGAAGCCAGCTGCTCCTTTGCCGCCACCAAAGAAGCCAGGCAAAGGTATGTTTAAGTCCATGTTTCACAAGAAGAATTCTGGATCATCTTCTCATGATAAAGAAGAATACATGGAGCCTGATGTGGTGGAAGAATTATTTGAAGAGGGATCTGCTATGCTTTCAGAAAGGTTTGTGTTTACGAGAATCCACTATATTGTTTAGTAGTTTTAAATTTTCACATCGATCAGCACAGATCAATTATCAGATCTATTTTATATTTTTTGTCTGTTCTGTGGGGCATGACTTGCTGTTGGGTGCAGGTTGGTTACAAAATATCCACTGTGCAACATGTTTAAGCTGTTCATGTGTGCAATCTGTCAAATAGAGATGAAACCTGGAGAGGGTATTTCGATTCATGCTGGCAAATCTAATTCAGTAAAGTTTCGTCCATGGGACGGTCCTTTCCTTTGTTCTAGTTGCCAGGGGAAGAGAGAAGCCATGGAAGGGAAAAGACCATCAAGAAGTAACGGCTTCTTCCCTCTCTCTCTCAATGTTTCTTCATTTCAAATATATGTTACTGAAGTAAAAATACTTGATTCTTTTGTTTTCAGATAGACATGGTAGTGACAGTGACTAGCTAGACCTTTCTAAATACTGTTGGGTTTTGTGGGCCCTAAGGATTGTTCTAGTGGTGGTCATGAATGGGGAAAATGGTGCATTCTCTATATTGCAATTTCCTTCAGTTTCTTATTTGAGGGCATCAAACACCCATTTGAATCAATACTCCCAAGGTGGCTTTGGGAGTGAGGAGACGTGTGTAACCTCGAGTGAAAATGGAAAGAAAAAAAATAGCTGGAAGGTTTTTGATGGACTCAACCAGTGGGATAGTGGCATGCCTCAGAGGTAATTCCTTTTCTTCATATGTATTCATCGCATTATAAACCAATCGCTCCAAATTAATAGAGCCAACATTAAATGATAGATGACATCGATGTAATGTTGTTATAATATAGGGAGTTTCATGCTAGGAAGAAAACTTGGGTGATTAGCTTGCTGAATGAAATTTGTTCATGTATCATTGGTTATTTGTTATTTCCTTCCAAATTTGACAACTGGGAAGGTAATCTTTGGTATAGAAAGAAATTGCAAATTCCATTATTCTTTCCCACTAGAGGTTCAAGAATTCTGGTTCTATTTCAAAGTTTTTTCTTTAATCGTTTAGCCATACATATACACGTATGCTTGGTTGATGTGAATAAGTATAATGTGTTGATAACCTAGTAGCTGGATATTGCCCATGTTTGAGGATAGCCCATGTTTGAGGATAGATACAGGGTTTTAAATCACGTTCCGAAAACGTGATAGCGCCCGCGAAATAGCGGTTTCACCGCCGACCGAATTACCCCACTACACCCGCGATAGCGCCCGCGACGGACAAAAGCACGGTAAACACAAAATGACCGAAAACTCGACTGCGGCCGCGATTTGAAACTGTATAGATATGTTGGGATCAGCTTTTGTTGTGGGGACTAGTAAGTAGGGGTGCACAAAAAATCCGAATATCCGATTTTGCGAAAAAAATATCCGAAACCGGATTTGGGAAAAACCGGTTTTTTTTTAACCGGATCGGATTTTTTTTAAACCGGTTATTTAAACCGGTTTGGAGAAAAAAACCTAGACCGGTTTTTTTACCGGATAAAAAATTGGTTTGAAAAAAACCGGTTAAAAAACCGGTTTTTATCCGGAAAAAAACCGGTCTGGGTTTAAAAAACTTGCCGTTAATATAGCCGTTGGGGGGGGGGTTTGTGACCGTTTTTGACCGTTTTTTTCTTTAAAAAATTACCATTTTACCACCCTAAACATGTATAAATAGGTTGGGGATGTATTTGGTTGATTACAAATTTCTCAAATCTTATTACACAACACTTAAACATCTCTCAAATCTTACTTTTGTAATTTTTTGTTCATCATGAGTAACACGGCTGAATCTTCCGTCGGGGGAAACCTTGAAGTCGTGAGAGTGATCGAACACACTCGAAACAAAGACATTTGGGATCACTACGATTTATGTGAGATGTCAAATGGCTCGAGGAGGGCGCGTTGTAAACTTTGTCTAAAGTTTCTTGCATCGGAAGGAAACACAACGTTGAAGAACCATTTGACAAAATCATGCAAGGCACTTCGCTCAAGATAGGATCCTAGTCAATCGAATCTTACACCGCAAGGTGGTGTTTTTGTTTACGACAACGAAAAATTACGAGAAGCGTTACAAAGTTCGTGATTACAAAAGCATTGCCGTTCGACCACTTTGATGATGAAGATTTCACGATAACAATTCAACAACTAATGCAACCACGCTATACTCAAGTAAGTCGTACTACCTTTAGAAGAGATGCTATAAAAATGTGGCGTACGGCGAGGGAAAAAATGATTTTAGGATTCCAAGAACACCGTTATGGTGTGTCGCTTACATGTGACGTTTGGAGTTCCCCTCATAATACCGGAAATTCTTTTTTAGCCGTTACGTCACATTGGTTAGATCAAGATAATTGGCAAATGATGAAAAGAACAATCGCGTTTGAATTATTCGGTGAGCCACATAACGGTGCTAATTTATTTACACTTTTAAAAAGGGTAATTTGTCTTTATAAATTAGAAAATAAAGTTTTTTCTATATCCTTTGATAATGCATCGAATAATACAAACGCGGTTCCAAGATTGAAAATATTACTTTCACCGATTTTAGACGGTGCGTTTTTTCATACCCGTTGCGTTGCACACATAATTAATTTATCCGTGCAAGCCGGTTTGGAGGTTATTGAGCCGATTAGATTAGAATTTAAAACAATGATAAAATCGGTTCTTTGTAACAACAACAAAAGACTAAATGATTATAAACGATTTTGTAAGTCCGTTAATAAAAAAGCTTTGGGTCCTAATTTGGATTGTCCAACTCGTTGGAACTCAACTTGGATGATGATGCATACTGCCTTAAGGCAAAGGGAAACATTGCAAACATTTTATGATTGGCTTTTCGAGAGGGGTCATGTCCCAAACATTTATCCGGATTCGAGTTGGGAAACTATAGCCAAAATAACCGATTTGCTTGAGGTTTTTAAAAATGCAACAACTTTTTTATCCGGTGTTTATTACCCTACTAGCCCGTTGGTTCTTAATCAAATATTTTTGTTGGCTACCCGACTAAATGACTTTGAATTTGAAACCGAAGTTTTTCAAGAAATTGGCTTTGCAATGAAAGAAAAACTTTTAAAATATTTTAAGGAGATTCCCCCCATTTTTACTTGTGCCGCCGCTTTAAACCCAACGTTAAATGTTGGTGGGGTTGAAACACTAATTGAACAAATTGCGTTTGCTTTTAATCTAACCGATGATGAACCCAACTTTGTCCAAAACTAAATAAATTATTTTAACAAATGTTTTCGAGACATGTTTGCAATTTATTTAACTAAATACGGATCAAGTAGTGTAATACACGATCAAATGAGAATGAATGCGGAATCATCTAGTAGACGTCCAAGTAACATAAATTTGAATCTTTTTAACACTCTTGTAAATTCCCAATCCAAACGATCACGTACTACCACCCCAAGTAGCGAGTTGGGAAATTATATGTCATGCGATTTTCTATCAAAAATGACATTTGAAGAGTTTGAAAGTTTGGATATTTTGGCTTGGTGGAAAGAAAATGAAGCACAATTTCCGATTCTAGCCGCCATGGCCCGTGATTTACTAACCGTCCAAGCTTCTACGGTAGCTTCGGAATCCGCTTTTTCTGTTAGTGGCAGGGTTATATCGCAACGGAGATCAAGACTAAGTCCCGAGTCGGTGGAAGTATGCATTTGTTTAAAGGATTATTTGGATGGAGCGGCTCGTAAGCAACATATCACCACCCTAGAAGATGCAATTGATGCCGATTTGGAAGCAAACTTACACATTGAAGAAGTCGAACTTGGAATATCCCCTCCAAACGAAGAAGGCGAAGATGATGGAGAAGAGATGGCAATGTAGTTTATTTTATAACTTTATTTCAATTATCGTAAACTTTGTTTCAATTGTCGAACTTGAAGTTTTTAAGTATTTGAATTTATCGAACTTGGAAGTTTTTAAGTATTTGAATTTATCAAACTTGGAAGTATTTAAGTATTTCAATTATGTTGAGTTAATTAAGTATTTCAATTAAGTATTTGAATTTATCGAACTTGAGGTTTGATGCTTTCTCTTTGATTCTCTCTTGATTCTAGTTGCTTGATGTTTCTTGTCTTTGATCAATGGCTTCTAAGCTTGCTTAAATACACCTTAAATCACTTCTGAACGTTAGTGATAATTAATGAAGATAATATAGCCGTTTAAGTGTGAAAACATTTAATAAAAATGCTTGGAGCGTGGGGGAATCGGTACACTCTCATAGGGAATCGGTTTCCTCTCATAGGGAATCGGTTCCCTAAGTGTAAAATTCAAATATTTCGATCGTTGAATAGGGGGGAATCGGTACCCCCTATGGGGGAATCGGTTCCCTCCGAACATTCTGGAAATCTCGGAGTTAAACCATTCAGTGAGGAATCGGTACCCCCTTGGGGGGGAATCGGTTCCCTATGAGCAATCTGGAATATTAAAATCGGTTTTTTTATAACCGGTTTTTTAAAAAAACTGGTTTTTTTAAAACCGAAACCGGTTACACCGGTTAGGATATCCGGCCCTCCAAACCGGTTAAAAACCGAACCGATTATTTTATAAATCGGTTTTTTTTCTATGAGAAAAAACCAGATCGGATAAAAACCGATCCGGATCGGATTGAAATCCGACAAATGTTCATCTCTACTAGTAAGACATTGCTTGGCTGGAGGATGTGGACTCTAGTCAACATACATGTGAACTCGCTTTCCACGTCCCCCCCCCCCCCCACTGTACCCTTCAAGTTCTGTTAAGAAGCCAAGTACCAACATTAGGTTAGGTTCGGTTTTAAAATAAAATTGCATTTCATTTGAATAATCTTTACTTAACCCAATACACTTAATCGTTTTTTAATTAAAATAAACTTAGATAAATATAGAATTTTATTAAACACCGAATTAGTGCTCATCCAGACTTCTTTTTGGCGTTATCCTCATTATAATTTAGAAATAAAAATGTGTAAGAAATTTGAGATTTAATCACTCAATTTTAATTGGATTAAGTTTGATTCCTTTTCCTTCCATATGTAATTAATAGGTCTAACTTGGTAGTTTCTTATTTTATTGATGACTTATAATCTTCTATTTTGTCATTATTCGGTTATAACTTACACTGTCATTTAGAAGTTTAAACAATCAAATGTAAACAATAATAAATTTACATGTCTATTGATTGGATTCTTTTAATAACATTACAAAATTAAACGCATAAATTACGTCAGATGAAATTAAAGTATGAAAGCATACACCGAAATTTCAGTAAAGGGGCTGAAATTCTGATTATAAAATAAGAAGAAAAAGAAAACAAAAGGAGAGCAGAAATATTTGTATAGAGAAAACATCCAAAGGATTCTTAGGTTTTAGTTAACAAGGTAGAATTGTTGGGTTTTGTTTTGTAAGAATTTATTGTTCTGCTTGTTGAGTGATGGAGATATTGAGTGGCCAGCGGCAAAAGGAGGAAAGCTAAAAAAGGTTCCCCACCAAAAGGATGTTAATGGGTAATGAGGGTGAAATCTTTGTTTTATGTCTTGTTTTCTTCTTCTTTATCTTTAGGGTAAAATAAAATAAGATTTTGAGTGGCAGAGATGAGTCAATCCACCAAAATAATGCCTCCATGATTGAGATGTTGACCTCAACTACACGAACAAAATTTCCCCCATGGGTAGACCCAAACTCCTGCTCTACAACTTGTAGGACCACTCTGTACACGTGTGTGGGTCTACCTTCTCATTCTTTTTCTTCCATCATTGCCTCATTGTTTATTAAACTTCATACGTTTTAGGATAGTTGAACGAGTAAAAATAAACGGTTGAGATTTTTTTTTCAAAGAGTATATTCTCATTTCTTACTGTTAGTTTCAAACGTCTATTTCACTCATCTAATGATATTAAAAACGTGTAAAACTAATTTTTTTTTACATTGTTAAGTGGATATTGCCCCTAAATGAGTTAAATACATTTACTCAATGTAAAATTTATTAAGGTTTATACGTTTTAGGATCGTTGGAGGAGACGGTTGAAATTATATCTTTTTTTCCAGTGAACATCTTATTTTTATTGTTAATGTCGGCTGTCTATTTTTACTCATCTAACAATCTCAAAAATACAAAAAATTAAAGAGTTTTACATCGTGTAATTAGATTTTATCTCTAAATAAGTATAGGAATCAATATTGTTATTATTATCTATCATTATCCTATTCTTAAATTGATTGGTGAATGAAAACCATCCATTACACCAACGCTTGATTTCGCAATTTCCCTGTCAAAGGCTCAAACTAGAGCTAAGCTAAAAGTACATCCATTGCATGTTGTGTTAACGAATGATAAAAAGAAAACATTTGATCTTAATGGCAAAAATACATTTGATTATCACATGGTAGGGACGTTCTCCACCCAAACCCATGAAAATCATTTGCATTTATACAAAGCAAAGACCAAACCACATTGTGTATCCTAAAATTTATTTTCTTCTGTCCGGAAATTCAACCATCAATGGGCAACCGCTGAAATTTGTTACACCAAAATGGATGATAGTGATCAAAATCAGCTTAAAATATTGAAAATCGGTGGTCTATTCCAATAGAAGAAAGGGCAAAAAGGAATGTGTATTTCAAATTAGTTGAACCATGGAAGTAGACTCCGACTTTAAACATTAATTACTTTGAAAATAAAACGGAATTAACTCCAACTTCAGACCTTTCGATTCTATGAATGACATCATTTCCTTGTGAAGATGAACACGTTGGGAAAAAAAAAACAACCTCGTTCCACACAACAATATACTAAAAGAGAAAGTTTAACTTTCCTATACTTTAACTTGAAGGGATGTAAATATAACCGATTAATATAAGATTAAAAAAAGTGGTAATCGAAAAATTTATTATGTAACTTTTTAAAGTAAATTGAGTAATATTTTAATTTGAAACCGAAATATTATATTCTTTATAATAAATCATGTAAATTGAATAATTATTCTAATTATAACCTAAAATATTATCGTCAATAAACTCACGTAACATTCTTGGTCGTAATCGGAATTATTACATGTGTAACTTTTTAGAGTAGATAAAGTAATATTTTAAATTAAAACTCGTTGCAATGTAATATTTTCGATTATAATTAAATTATTATTAATTGTATAACTTTTTGAAATAGATAATATATCATTTTAGATTAAAATTAACTTTTAAGATTCTCGCCGGACAGTAGAACTACCGTAACTTGTAAGGATAAAAGAGTTTGGTACTTTGTTTAAGATTCCTATGTGAAATGAATTCGCATAGGGAATGGAGATTTTAGGTTTGCATCCCATAATCTGCATGTTGAGGGGAAATTTTGATGTTTGTGATCTAAATTTCTTTTGGATCAACAGTTTTAGAGAAAGCTGTAGTCTTGGAGAAATGGACCCACAAACCCATTTTTGATACATATACTGCTAAATGTATCATCTCATCTTCCTAGTGCATCAATGGCCACCACACCCTTTCCTCTCCATTGAAGCATTATGCAAAAACAAAATGTAAACCAAAATATATGTCCCATTTTTGTACTAAAGACGCGTTAAACCAAATTCTCTTCTCTGTCTCTTCCCCCACTGTCTCCTAATCTCCTTATCCCCTCCATAAAGAGAAGCTTGCAAGCAATCATGGAGAAAGTAAAAGGATCAGCAGATAAGCAACAATCATCAATGGTGGTATCCTCTGCTCCATCACCTCCTTCAGCATCTTCCTCTCCTTCCCATGAATTCTCCTTCACAATATCTCTCCACTCTTCTTCTTCTTCTTCCAATACAGCCAAAGCCCCACCGTCTTCCATCGCCATTGATTTGACTCCGGCCGATGATATATTCTTCCACGGCCATTTGCTCCCTCTACACCTCCTTTCTCACCTCCCGGTTTCCCCACGTTCCTCCACCAACTCATTGGATAGCTTCACGCTTCCCATAAGAGAGCTTTTGGACGACCAGAAGCCGGAAAAAACCAGCAAAAGCGACAGAAACATCAGAAGCATCAATGGCAGACAAGTTCACAACAACATGGAATCAACAGCAAGGGAAAAATCCAAGTCGTTCTCGTTGTTTAGTTTCACAAAACGGCAAAAAGGACGAGTCGACGTTGAGCACAAGGAGAAGCATAAGAAGAAAAAGATGAGATTCGACGTGAGTCATCTGTTGAAAAGATACGTAAGGATGGTACGGCCTTTGTTGTTCTTCAAAGGGAAGAGAGATAAGCTCCATGTCCGTAGGCAAGCTTATTCGTTTTCGGGTAATTTAGGTTTGAGAAACAAAAAAGAAGATGATTTGATGAGAGGAAGGAGAGGAGATTATTCGTCGGCTCCTGCGTCGATGAGGACATCTCCGACGAACAGTGGTCTCCTTGTTGCAACCCCAGGGTTTCCTTCTTCAACCAGTGATAGCACCATGGAAGAGTTGCAGGCTGCAATTCAAGCTGCCATTGCTCATTGCAAGAACTCCATTAGAGGGGAAGATAAACTTAAATGCTAAGGCAGCTAATTTTTCTGTGTATAAAAAATTGACCTATAAAGAAGTATGAAATTAGTTTAGGGGGTAATGCTTTAATAAATTTCTACATCTTAGAATCAAAATTAAACTGCTTTTCTTTCTTGCCTTTACTGTGCATATTATGAAACATGTTTGGTGACAATAATGGCAAAGATACGAGGGTTCAAAAATATATTCACATGATTCATTAGTTGCATTAACTTAATGGAACCTGTTTAGCATATAGTATTTCAAATTATGTAATATTTGGTGTACTCACATCCCTTCGAAAATTCTATTTCTAACTGTTTAATCGTTCCATGAAATTGTATACACATCTCCGACAAGTAATCGATAGATTTAATCATTTCATTGTCGGATTATCTATAAGTTAGATCTACGATAATCCTGATATCATTTATCAGTACGTAGGTGTCACATTCCATTCATCCACAATCATCCTGTAACATCAAAGACACAGAGCATAAAAAAATAAAAAAAATAAAACTCTCGAAGGGATCTAATGATCTAATCTTTCTTCTTACAGATTCTCTCTCTTCTTCCCTTCCAAGAAAGGAATTTGAACTCGTCTATTTTTTATCACCGTCATTTTCTAATGACTCTCCATCAGATGTAATAGGAGTGAACCGATGCTGACTAAAATCTAAATTCTTCCTTAACAACTTTCCGTCCAGACCTGAAGAGATAAAACACAATTAAACACCACTAATCTCTATCCCACTAGTTGTACTTTATAATTTAAAACCTAATATGTACCAACAAAATCATATATATTATTAACCAAAAACCAATATTGATCAGTAAACTACCATTTCTTTTCATCTGTTCATTTTTATTGATAATTTTCTTTGTTTAACATTTTCACATGAACAAAACGGTGTCCGTAAAGCCCATACGGAAAAGGCAAAGTTAGCATCTGCAACAAAGGAGAGGAGGAATGAAGCTAAAAAGAGAAGACATACTTTTTAATCAAAAGGAAACAAAAACCATTGGTGGTGATAGGTGCCATAAAGAGAAATGGTGTGAATGGGGACACACATAATGAGTTAATAGCTTCAGAATTTGACAGAACAAGTACAACAATGTGCTTTATCAACAATGTAGGAGCTTAATATCAAAGAAATGATTCATTTCAATGCCATTAAAAACCATGATAGCTTAGATTGTAATGCTGACAACTGTAATATCCCAAATGGTAGGTCAATGCCTATTTTGAAAGAATTAAAAAATTTGAGGATTGAATTTAATAAATGTTAAATTATAAGGAATGATTTGAGTGAAACCAATTAGTAAGAAATGGATGATTGAAATGACATTTTAGTCTTTTTAGAGTGAAATGAATTTAAAACTCATTTCTTTTATTAGAGATTTAAGAAAAGGGGAAAGTTAAAAACTAAGTTGAGTTATTTATTTACTCCTCTTCTTCTTCCTCCCGTGGGTTGTGCTCTCCTCCATAGCTAAAAGTAAACATCATCTAACTAGTTTTTACTTTCGATTCTGGTTTGTTCTTGCAACCTTAGGTGATACGTAAGGTTAAGGAAATGTTAAATAAGATTAAAACTAGGAGATGAATGAATTATTTGAGATTTAAGAAAATGAGTTTTTGAATGATATGTTAGAATATGAGTTCTTATTGATGTTTACTAGTATATTTGACTTGTCAAGGAAGTAAATAAGAGAGTAGAAGCATTGGATGGAAAACATGTTAGAAAAAGTGGTATGATTCTTGGATTGAAATGTTCTTTGGAGATTGAAATAAGTGAAGGAAAGTTAGTAGGGATAAGTAAAGAGGAGTTTGATAGTATTGTTGGAGGTAAAAATAAGGGAAATTGACCAAATTTGGGTAAAAATCGGGTTGAAAATGGAAAATCTGGGTAAGGGTATCGATACTGGAAGAACAATACCGGTACTACAGGCTTAAATTTGGAAGAAACCAGATGAACAATATCGATACTGTAATAGAGTATCGATACCATAGTATAGAAGTATCGGTACTAGGAGAAAAGTATCGGTACTAGGAGAAAAGTATCGGTACTAGGAGAAAAGTATCGATACCATGGATCCAGAATATAGAAATGGTATCGATACTAAAAGGAAGTATCAGTATTATAGTATAGACATATCGATACCATGGTAGGGGTACCGATACTAGTGTGCCATGAATTTTAAAATAGGTTGAGATTGCTATAGAAAATTTAATAATAGTACTTTTGAGTATTGTTAAAGTATAAATGTTAGAGAATATAATAATATTTAGTATGATATGTGTCTTTAATGGATGTTTGAGTAGATCGTAATCAAGCTCCCGAGTCAAGCAAAACGAAAGGCAAAGATAAAGTTGTCGAGTAGTCAGATTTGTTTTTTTGGATATAATAGCGAGGCAGGCCAGATGAGTGCATTTATTATGTATAGTAAGAGTTATAAATGTGTGTGTTAAACCTATATTTTACAATTGTATATCAGTACTATGTGTATTTTTGACACTATATGTGCAACCTACAGAATTCATCATATGTTGATGAACAACCATTTTGGCACTATATGTGCAACCCACACAATTCATCATAAGTTGATGAACAACCATTTTGGCACTATGTGTGCAACCCACGGAATTCATCATAAGTTGATGAACAACTGTTTTGGCACTATGTGTGCAACCCATGGAATTCATCATATGTTAATGAACAACTTATAGGCACTAAGTGTGCAATATACAAAATTCATCATATGTTGATAACAACCGTATAGACACTAAGTGTGCAACCTACAGAATTCATCATATGTTGATGAAAAAACGTATAGGAACTAAGTGTGCAACCCACGAAATTCATCATATGTTGATGAACAACCATATGGGCACTAAGTGTGCAACCCACGAAATTCATCATATGTTGATGAACAACAGTATAGGCACTAAGTGTGCAACCCACAAAATTCATAATGTGTTTATGAACGACCGTATTGGCACTACGTGTGCACCCCAGAGAACTTATAATGTTATGAAAACAATGGATTTTGATATATATGATATACTTATGTTTTAATTAAGGCATTTAGTTGCAACTCAGGTACCATATATTTTTATTCATCATATACTGGACAAACAAAGGATAAATTAGAAAATACTGATTGAAAGGTATGCTGGGCATACTAAAAATAGTTATCATGTTATTTGATGGAAGATTTGTTCTCTAGTATTGGTTTGAATTATGCGATTTTCATTTGTATTTTGATAAATTTGAAAATGTTTATATTTAAGTATAATTCTTTTTGTATTACTATGCATCACTAAGTAAATACTTAACGTGTATTGGTTTCAAGCGTAGGTAAAAGCCGAGATTAGAAGTAAAGAGTACCGAGCAACTCCAAGCATCAAGGAATATATTGTAATATCAGTAAGACATCCTATGATGGAATTTTTTACTTAGTTTAGTGGCATGTACTTATGGATGTTCTATTAGCTTTATTTTAATATTTTGGAAACTGGTTTGTATATATTAACTTGACCGTTTTATATTGATTTTAATATGGATAACATGAACTAGTATTGCTAATCGGAGTAGAGTGTTTAATATCTTATTAAATGGTTTTATTTAAAGAAAACGAAAAATTTTATTGATTTTCAAGTATAGAGAATGTTTCAAAAGTCATGTGACATCTGTGTCTCGTGTACGGAAACATATACAAGAAATGGGTGTTACATTTATTGGTATCAGAGTTACAGGTTTAGCCATTTCTGGACATGAACCAAGTATTAAATTTGTTAAGAATGAATACATGCCACTAGGATGTCAAAAGTTTACTAATATTTGTATATATATATTGTGATGATGCTTATAAGAGAGTAAAGTTACTTTTTATTAATGTAAGATGATTTTGACTGTGTTTAGATTTCAGAAACTAAAGATAAAGGAAAGGAAGTTGATAATATCGAAAAGAAGGTCAAGATCAAAATCAACCCTAGAGAATCCGACATGACTTAAGTATCACGTCTTATAAGGGTAAAAGCTGCTAGGAATTTTCCTCCATTTTGTGGAAGGAATGCCTCAACGTTTGACGACATTTTAGCATTTAAGGAATCCATTAAAAAGTTTGAACGTTTTACAAGAGAAGTTGAATCGGATGAGGATCCAGAGGAGATTTCTGAATTAAGTGATGATTCCGAGGTTTTTTCATGTAATCTTAAATAATTAAGAAAGATTTAAGTAAATCATTAAATTGTTTAAAGTATTATTAATTTGAGTAAGAAGAAATGAGTAAGCAGTAAAATACGTTGTCCGCTAAAAGTTTATAGATTATCTTAAGAATGAAATAAGAAATTTTAAAATAAAAGTATTCTATTCAACTTAATCTCGAGTGAGATGATAGCGGTAAATCCTATGGGTCATGGTGCAAGTGTGAGTTGGGTAGGTAGTAAATATTTGATAAAGATTCAAGGGACTATGCTCCCGGCGAATATGATGGAATTATCATTTGATGAGTTAAGATCATATTGGGTATAGGTTGTTTGTCTCCATAAATGATTAGTTCAGAAAGATGCAGAGGATATGAAAATTATAGTTTTGGAGAGAAAGTAAAATAATCGCTCCAGATGATATCTACAATGATTGTAAAGAAAATGATGTTAGAAAGATGTATAACTTTTCTGGATAATGTGTTAGATACTCAAATAATTAAAGTATAATAGTATGATATCTCCACAACTAGGGAATTTATAGATGTCTTTTCACATGAATTATCTGGGTTACCTCCAGATCGAGAGGGGAAAGTCAAGGTTGATGGTTATCAATGTATAAGCATGTTTCTATGATTTTCATATCATTTACTTAAGCGAGTTAAAAGAATTAGAGGCTTAATTAAAGAGTTGGTTGATCAAGGTTTCATCAAAATGAGTGTTCCTTTTTGAAGAGTATTTGTGTTATTAGCGAAAAGAAAGATGAGTATATGTGGTTATGCATAGATTATTGCAATTAAATAAGGTAATAATAAAGAATAAGTATCCTCTTTCGAGGATTGATGATCTGTTTGATCAATGGAAATGCACAACAGTGTTCTTTAATATAGACCTTAGATTATGATAGCACCAATTAAAGATTTAA